TATGGGGGAATTTTTTTTTTATATTTTTCATCTGCTAGAATAGGGGTTTGCAATCTTGGCTCACTAAATTACTTACAATGTGTTATTTCTACTTTTTCATTAAAATTAATAGTCTTAAAGATGTGGTTCTTGTGACATTTTCCTCACAAAACCGGTTCCAATTAGTAATTAATCCTATACTAAAAACAAGGTAAATGCATACTGTAAGAATATGCCATATCAGTAGTACGGTACCTGTTTTATAGATGCTCTAACTATGAACTTAAAAATAAAAACATAAATTATTTTGCTTCAATTATTTAAAGTGTCAAAGTATTACGTGGTGCAACTGTCTAGCCCCAATTACTGTTCTTTAAAGGTCATTAAAATTCCTTTGAATGTACTCCATTTTTGGCATTATTTCTGATGGGTATGCAGTCCCATGATTTCTAACTCCATCATAATTGTTAGGGGCTTCACAAGTTGGATTTAATTTAAAAATATAAAGTGGGATGAACAATCACCTGGGGTAACCAGTGCAGAGAGCATTCATAGATCAGACTATGTCCTAAATGATCCAACCTGTTCTTTAATATTTGAATGACAGTTACTATGAATAACTGCTACTTTGATTTGGCCTCATTTGGATTATTTTCATTAGTTTTGCTTCATTTCTTTACAAGATAAGAAAAAAACATCTAAGTAAAGATCATTTGTGGCATGGAATGTTGACAAACAAGATGCATCAGGCACACATCTAGTCTTTTTTTGTGTGGAAAATTTGGTCCAAAGCCGTCGGGCTGGGCATCAAGTTACGCCTCTCTCCATGTAGTTACGGTATCAAGAGCGCCTTTCTCCATGTAGTTACGGTAGTCTCCACCCCCCTCTTCCCCTATTAGCGCAGCCTCAGCACAGCACTCTGCTGTTGAGCTATCGGTTGCATATCCGCTGACTTTCGGCGTGGTAACGAGCTACGTTCATTAACAAAGGGGCGACCTATTATTTATTAATTAACAATTGTATCGTTTATCTATAAAAATGAGCACCCTTAACGTGAAGAAGCTCAAAGTTAACGAGCTGAAGGACGAGCTAAAGAAGCGGAATCTGTCGGATAAGGGGCTGAAGGCCGAGCTGATGGATCGCCTGCAGGCCGCGTTGGACGAAGAGGCCCTCGCCGGAGACTCCTCGGCGGCTCAGGAAGGTTCGGGCGATGATGGGTTCGAACAGTCGGTGGAACAAGAGTGTATAGGAGAGGGAGAGGGCATGGGAGAAGAAGAAGAAGGCGAGGGTCCGGTAGAGGAGAGCATGGAGGCAAACCAGGAGGAAGCGGAGAATGAAGGCGACGGCAACGGCGTCGCCGAGGACGAAGAGATGGGTGAGGGGGAAGACGGAGGGGAAGAAGACGACGAAATGGATCCCATGCTCAAGGCTGATGTAGACGATATGGAAAAAATCGAAGACGGTGAGCCCGGAGACAACGCCGCAGAGGGTGAGTTTGAGAAGTTGCTTGGATTAAAAAAAATGGCTGGTTTGGATGGACCGTGGTTGGATGCCGGTTTGTTTTTTTGGCTCAATGACGGGTTGGGGCCGGTTAGGTTTCACAGCGTTCTCCGCTCAGCGTCCATGTTGGGTCACAGCGGGATCCATGCTAGGCCGCGCTCAGGCTAACACGTAGCCAGCTAGCATCTTCGGTTAGCTCATTTTATGGCGCGTATTCTCTTAATGTGGCTATTTTAATATATATTTAAGTAGGTTAGAGTTATACGTGAAACTTTTTTTTAGAAAACGGCACCAAAGTAAACGACGGTTATTTTAAAATATGGCTCTTGATTCGGCTTTTTGTTTCGTTTTGTTACGGGGTTACCGTGCTAGTTAGCATCATTCCCTTTGTTTGACAGGAAGCTAAAGCTGTTAGCATTTCAGAGGTTCCCAACCGTTATGTTTGACCAGTAATGCCAGGCTTGGGCAACAAGGGCAGATAATTTGCTTGGATTATGATTACAAAGTTTGATTACACACTTTTTGTTATAATTTAATTTGTTTTCCCTATCGAACGAAAATTGCTCTTCTAAAGTGATATTCTGATCCCTTTTTTTTATTTTATTTATTACACTTTTAAAAATCGTTAATTTCCCCTTACAATTTTTCTGGTTTTCCTAACGTTTAAAAATCCAATTTTTTTAAGCTTTATTAATCAAAACATTAAAGTACAGAAAATGTTATTTTTTTAAATATACTTTCCTGAAAACCAATTGTCGATTGTAATGGCTTTATTGCAGTTTTAAAAAGCTGCGGAGTGCCACGGACGGATGTAAACATAACAGCGAGCTCAAGGAGCAGGCCAGGCCTAGAAAGCCGGAGGAAGAAGTTTACGAGACAGCGAAAGAGAGGCTGCAGAGCCGGGGTATCAGCGAAGCTAAGAAGGAGTCTCAAAGGAACACCAAACCCATCAATCCCACAATCCAACATCTGCTCAGCGGATAGCAAAATAGATGATCCCCAACTAAATCAACATTCTCCAAAAAAGATACCAGACAGTGATATTAGCTTGGAGGGCCTCGCGCTATTCCGCGACGATATAAACAAAGAACTAACTGGTAAGAATAGAGGTGATGGGCTCTATGTATACATTAACAGCTGGTGTAAAAATGCAAGATTAGTGGTCAGTTTCTGCTCTACAGACATCTAGTTTCTGAATGTTAACTGCAGACCGTTCTATCTGCCCAGAGAGTTTAGTGTGGTTAGCATCACTGCTGTTTATATGCCCCCAAGCCTAATACAAAAGAGCCCATGAGAACTGCAGCCCCATTTACACTACCCTACCCTTTTGAAACAATGCAGAGATTGGTCCGAGCACAATAACTGCAATAACTGTTGATTGTAAATGTCATGCATGACTGAACCGTACCATTCCAGAGACAACCCAAATGCGCTAAACTGGTACTAGTTCATTAGGACTAGTTCAGTTCGTCGTTTCCTGCGTCTGTAAGCCCTGATTAGACTATCGTTTGTGGTACCCAATTCCCAAAAGCCGACTCCGTCAAGTCCACTCACTAAAGGCTGCCTTCTTTGCTTGTCTCTCCGCAAACAACGAAATATCACAATGATGACAAAACATAGCTTCCCGTCGCCATCATTTACCTCTAGGGAGCAGTAGTACCTTAGATCGCCACCAGGAGGAAAGGAGTGGTGGGTAAATGGTCGTAAGGAACCAAGCCCGGCATGGATCGGTTTTCAGAGGGTAGTGTAATTGGGCCTTCTATATCAGGTAGAAGCCTCAGGTCACCTCACTGAATGACTACCGGCCTGCATTGACTCCAGTCATTTGAGTGCTTTTAAAGGCTGGTTAAAGAACACATCATCTCCAGTCATCCGACAGGTTCCAGTTCGCTTACCAACAAAGCCGCTCCACTGATGACCCCATCTCCTCTGGTCTTCGCCTGAGCCTAGCACACTTGGAGAAGAACACCCATGTGCAGATTTTCAGATCAAAGATGCAATTTTATTTTTATTTGAACCTCTATCTGCTTGAATATCAGCATGATGGAGGGGACTTTTTAAATGGTGACCCAACTTAATCCGAGCTTCATCTGAATTTACAGCCTGGCAAGCTTTCAGATTATATATAACATCAGCAATATAATCAAACAAGGCTGGGAATCTCTGAAGTTGTTAACCTAAAGCCATGCCTAAGGAAGGAGCAACGCTGAGCAGTTCAGTTTATCTGTGTATGAAAAGGATGTGCTTAGATGATATCGATTGGGAGTTTGTTAGGTTATATAGCCGAAAGTAGAGGTTGAAGTACTGGTAACTCAGATCTAGGTAGCTTTTTTGCATGATCCATTTATCCCTGATGACTGTAGACCCTCTTAAAGGTCACAGACCTCAATGTAAGTTTGCTCCCTGCCTTGCAGGGTTATTGTTTCGTAACTTTTAGCAACCTTTTTCCATTCCAGCCCCAGGAAAACATTTCTTTTTCTGTACATTTGGGCCAGTTTATGTTGTAAATACTACCTGGTCTTAAGAACTGTTACAAGTCATGACATTTTTATTGTATTGTTTAAGTGTAACCCAGAGGCTTTGCCTCTATAAATGATGATTATGGTGGACACAGTGTACACTAATGAACGGGCTTTGTGGGCCAACACCCCACTGCCAGTCCGACCTCTCTCTGTCTCAAAAAGGAGCACCTCATTCTATATCTTTGTTCTATTTTCAAAGGGGATGCGGACAAAGACACGAATGCTGATCAGAAGAATAAGAAGGGTGTTAAGAGACGCCGGGAGGAACATGGAAGGGGCTACTTTGAATTTATTGAAGAGAACAAATACAGCTGGTAAGGATGGGACAGAGCAAATATGGCCTTCGGCATCCCTGAAGCGCCATGCATAGCTTTGTTGACCTGTATTGGCTTTAACTGCCAATGCACTTCACTAGCAAGAGGAAAGAAATCCTCATTTTGAAGTATTTTATCATATATTATCTACAACACTTTTCATGTATTTGAGGGTCATCCCTGACTAGCTTTAAAGAGCCTTACCATTTACTGTTTTACAGTGCCCACTCACAAATGTATTTTTTAGACTGCATTCTGTAGCAGAAGTGCATCTCTCTAACTTCTATGAATTTCCACATCTGTTCCTCATGCCACTTATGTTTTAGGAAAGCCCGTTGTGTCCTCAGTGTAAAAAGAGGCTGCTTTCATAGCTGCCAGTGAAAGTAGCTGATGTACTCTTAATTAAAACTCAGGGTTTTGGGTTTAGCTGAGAGGCAAAGGATGAGGGGTCCACAGCTGGGGCGTAGCTCTGAAGGATTTAGTCCCAGTTTTTTATTTTTTGGAACGCCCACGGAGGAGCTCGCTATTGATCGTCCATCGTTTTACCCCGCAGTGGTTTTATTTATTTTAATTTTTGTTGTTTTTATTTCACTGACTGTATGATGTTCAACTGATATCTCTGTATCATATCCTGTGTCAGTCCTCATGGTGTGATTGGATGTGTGCATTTGCAAGGCTTCTCCCCCTCTCATAGGTGACATCATGCATGGTCTGCATGTAAGGGTGTGTGTGAGTTTGTGTACATGTACCTACTTCCTGGTCAGTGTTTTTGTTTTCATTGCGCTGCAGATAAACCCAAGGATCAACGGGCAAAAAAGGGAAAATATTCTTGGAGATTCTTTGTAGTTTATATTTGTGAGAGTTTTAGAGGATGGAGACAAAGTTATGGTGAGCTGATTTTAAAAAGAAAACAAAAGCATTTCCTTCCTGTAACCTTTTTGTTTTGTTTTTTTTTTTTTGTTTTTTTTATTGCTTTTTGCAATATTATAGGGATAAACTTTTGTCCTCTCCCAACAAACCAAATATCTTAAATTCTTTAGTCCTCAAAGATTTAAGTATTTGACTTTGACTCTCAGCAGCCAAAATGTAAACAGTCCAGAGCTGTTAGCAGTCTGGTTTCAAAAAGATGCAGAAATATCAAACTGCAGGAAAAATCCCTCCTCACGGACAATTTATTGGGGCCGATCCCCCAACATTTTTACATTTTAGAACTTTGCTGCAGCAGAATGATCTAGTTAATTCCTTTGAAAAATGTTACCTTTTGTTGTTAGTGCATGCTGTTAAATGTTATTTTTAAATAATATATTCAGTTTCCTTAATTATTAGCACCACAGCAGGTAAATGCGTCATGAAACCTGATCTGGTTGATAGCTGAGCCTTAAGTCTTCTCTACCTTCTTACAAGGCTGAGACATTTTCTACAGGATGAGATTAAAAATAATCGGCCTTGTACTCTTGCTAATTATCCTGGTGAGGCAGGCCCATAGCATCACTGAACCCAGCCATACCACAGTAATGGATAAGATGTGCTTTGCCACATACCGGTTCTTATAGTATGTTTTTAATGAGGTTATATGGATCTGTAACAGTGGTGCTGAAAAATGGGGCTCCTTTTTGTAAATAAGTTATTGGCTTAAGATGATGATATTATGTCACATAACTGTGATCAGGGTTTTAGATGTACATCCCCTGTGCAAAAAGCGAGCATGACCCCCCCTCCCTCTAGCAGACCTTTAGATTTAAACTAGCTGACTCCACTGCAGTCCTGAGGACACAAACTCCAGAGTTTCTCCACAAGCCTGGCACAATGGGGCGAGTTACGGGTCTCCTCTTTTTTTATTTTTCATGTTTTAGTATTGGATGGACGCTCAAAGGTAAGTACCTGCTAAAGGTCTACAGTAAAGACGGTAATCTAAAAAGATCTCAGGCTCACTTCCAAAATATGAATATATTTTTCTCTCTCGGTTTTCAGCATTTTGTTTCTATCCTTCAGCAAGTGGTTCCCACATCAATATATATACCTGCATTTGCATTCAAGTGTTGCTTTTCTAATGGACTTGCTGGCGTTTTATTTTCCAGCGCCTCTTTTAAGTCTCCTGTACCCCCCTTGGAGGAAGAAGATGAAGAGTGTGATGAGACGAAAGTCTGCCTGGATACCTGTAGGTTTTTCTTTTTTTTACCTCATTGCCCAAAACATAAAATTTAACTGTTTATGGAGTA